TATATATATATATATATATATATATATACACACATACACATATGTATACACATATATATGCATATATATAGTATATATTAAAAGTTAAAATTAATATAATGCTCTGAAAATTATTTTATCTTTAACCTTTATTTACTGGTTCTTGGACTCCTAAGTCCGACTTTTGTCCCAGAAAACCCAAATACTCTAACTCACTGGTTTTCAGATTTATAGATTTCATAAACTAGTAAAATTAAAAAGAAATAGCATGCTGAGTAGTGGAGTGGGTTTGAGTAAGGGGATGTATTGCGTACCAGTAGAAACAGCGTGGCTGACTTTAATTTGCCGAGTGAGAGCATCCCCCCCCCCCCGCCACAAAGCTCATTTATTATCAACAAAGAAAAGTCCTTATGATACAAAATCATGGGAGTATGTTTAGCCTGATGAAATAAGGCAGCATTGTATCTACTGATAAAGACCTCCAGAAGAAATTAAGTTAAAAAAAAAAAAAAAGGATGGAGTAAACTGGTGATGGGCATTAAGGAGGGCACTTGGGATGAGCACTGGGTTTCATATGTAAGTGATGAATCACTAAATTCTACTCCTGAAACCATTATTATACTATATGTTAACTACCCTGGATTTAAATGAAAGAAAAATCACTTTGAAACTCTCAAAAAATAATGTGTCTAAAGTAAATGAAAAAAATTTTTTAAGAAAGGCAAGGAACAGTACAATATGTAAAATATATCTGTAAAAAGTGTGCTCATACATTATTCATGATGCATGAGAAACCAGTCTGACCCAGAGGACCAGGAGAGAAAGAGCCTCCTTTTCCCTGAACGTACTTTCACCGTCTTTGAAGTTTTCATCATGTGCATTCAAAACTAAATAAATACAATTTTAAAAACTAGCTTTGTGAAAGATTTGTTCCAGTGTCCTTGTGTTTTCAGTTTGTCCTGGATCAGTAAGAACCGAGCCTGGCAGTAAGTAGGCTGCAAATGGGCTTTGGAGAATCTCCATCCTAATGCACTGTATCCCACTACCTTTTAATGAGTAAACCCCCCCTGGGGCAGGAGGGCAAGAGCCTTGCCTACCTTAGTCTCGCCCTTTGAGAAAATGATACATTATGGAAACTGCCGCTCTTAAGACTTGAGCTGTCCTTTCCAGGATTGAAGAAGAGATACAGTGTTTCAAAAGATTCACCTCCTTCCCTTTTCTGGATCCTTGTTTATACTGATGGTAAGGTTCATATAAGGAAACCCAGCCTCATAGCTTTTCCTTTCGAGGCTGTTTGTAATGTCAGTGTGTGCCAGCATGCCCGGGTTTATTAACATGCACTGCACATTGTGTTTATTTCTGTTTCATCAAGATTTTGCCAGATGATGGCCTGTCTGTGCCTGATAGTGGCTGTGTTTGTGTATGAACACAGGGTCATCTGATAACGAATTGTCGCATCATGCGATTAAGTGATGTTTAAAATGGGTGTCAGCCAGAGAGTTTGACTCCCCGCGCACTTTGAGAAGGTCCAATCAACAAAAGAAAGTTCAGGGTATCTTGGAAGGGGTCATTGATTGCAACCAACGTCTTGATCATTCTGGACTGGTTCCTTCCTGCAGAGACACAATGAAAATAATACTGTACAGTAGACATTTTTCATTGTTGGAGGAAGGATACTCTTTTTCAGAGGTCGATCAATGCAAAATCGATCTCCTTTTCTAGAAGATAAAAGCTAATTGTTCTAGAAATTCTCTCACTGAATTGTAGAAGAGTTGCTGCTTTATCAAGTGCATCAATTCCTGAATGCTGTTTATCTTGACTTTCTGCGTCACGTCCAAGGCCGCGCGGGCAGGCACGGTGTGCTGTGGGGCGGGGTTCTATGGCGTTCACTTTGCAGCGCTGGTAAAGGGGGCAGTTTGATGACATAGTTGTTGCCAAAAATAATTATTTCATCAAATTGCGGGCACTCAGTAAGTGCCTAGCAAGACTGAACGCTGCAAATAAACCCAGTTACTAGGCAGGACTATTAACAAAAATGTGAACTCTGACTTGTCATGCTCATGCTGTGTATTTTTTGTACTGATACCTAATCTCTCCGATTGATGAGGGCTACAAATACCATAGGACTCAGTCTGGGAAGTATGGCAAGAAAGTTTTGCCTGATAGCTAACGCTCAGGAGCAGTGTCACCCCCGTCCCCATTATTGGTGGTGCACTCCAGAGAAAATTCCAGAATTAGTGTTTTCCAATTATTTTTCGGCCTTGGGTTCTTCTGCTCATTACTAGAGGCATATCATCTTGTTATAACTACTTTGAAACTTCAGAGAATGTGCCAAAGAGATGAATTTGTGTTCTCTTCCGTGGAAGCCTGGTAATTTTAGTAATCCGCTGCCCTCCGAGATACAAGCCAACTCTGCTTCCTCTGTAGTCTGTTTTTTCTTCCTTTCTTTCAAAATAACCTGCCATCTTTCCAAAATAAACACGAAGGGGAAATACATTAGTGGGTATGTAATCACCCAGATATCTGTAGCCACATGCCTCTAAAAAAATAGTAAAAATAAGATAGCCAGCAGAAGTTTATTCTGGTTTTACAAGACTTGTTAAGGCTCTTGTCTCTTCTCTAAGTCTTTTGGAAAGAAACATTTATATTCATGAAAAAAGGTTGGCAACGTGAAAATTAAATAACTCTCTGCCTGGAACTTATTTCCTCATCATCTTAGATTTGTAAGGTCATCATTTTGGGTGAATATCATCAAAATCATTATTTTACAGATTTTTTAGCATTTTAGAATTATAATCTCGTGTTCTATTTCTATTTAATACTTTTGAGACCTTGGTCTGATGATCTTGTGCTGAATCTGTGTAACCATATGATTATGTGGTATGTTTTAATCACAAAATTCATATTTAACTTTCATTTTTAGATAGCCTGAATTTAAAGATACTTTTAGGATTCTTTTCAACCCTGAAGGGTCTATGGTATTTAAGAGGCGTTTAAAAAACTGGCTTGCTCAAAAGACTTCATCCCATCGAATGAGTCTGGTGAATGATTTTAGTATTCTCAATTTATGTTTTGGAAAAAATAATGATCACTGTCCTCTTCTTCCTCTTTTCTCCTGTTTTTTTTTTTTTCTCCTTTTCCCCTTCCTTCTCTTCTTTATCTGCATCCGTTTCCTGACAACAAATATTTATTTAGCATCTACTCTCAATACTCTGCAGTGGGAAGCCAAGGTTTTCAGGCACTGCCCTTAGATTTTGCTGCAAGACACTAAACTATGCACCAAATCCTGACTCAGTCTTTATCATTACCGTGGCCAGGAACAGACCCTTAGAAATGTAATACATATTTTTTTTTCAAGTTTATTTTATTTATTTCGAGAGAGAGAGAGAAAGTGCTAGCAGGGGAGAGGCAGAGAGAGCAGGGGAGAGAATCCCAAGCAGGCTCTTCTCTGTCAGCGTGGAGCCCAATGCAGGACTCGATCCCATTGAACTGTGAGATCATGACCTGAGCTGAAATCCAGAGTTGGACATTTTAACTGACTGAGCCACCCAGGCACCCCCTTGGAGTGTAACACATATTTTAAAATCAAGATCTGGTTCTTCTGGAGTCCATGATAATTTGTGGGGGGCTAAGCAATGCTATCTATGTACAACCTGCCAGTGTAAGGAAAGAGGGTTTGCCAAAGTTTAACAGCATCATAGGACAACAATCTTTATCCCTCAGGCAAGTCAACTCCTTTTGCCCAGACACATGCTTATGAAGGCTGAGGATGCTAATTACAAATCATTTTTATCTTGCCTTTAAAGTCACAAGTAGGCTTGTCTGCAAGCAGACCTTAGAAACCATGGGAATCTTAACGTTCAAAACCACATTAAGAAAACTTCTTCAGGTTAGACAGGCTAGACCCCCAGATTTCAAATTACCCTGATAGTAACACAAGGTGTATGTAGACTTTCCCTTCCCTTTGAATGTCGATTTATTACAATTCTACATGCTAAAAGGAGCCCATTGTTTACGCTTCTGTGAGTTAGTCCTCTGGCCAAGACTCTGGAGGGAGAGCCTGTGAGAGGGAAATCGCAGCCAAGCTGTGAGGAGGGTTAGTTCTGGGGCTGGAGGTCTGGAAAATGAGATGGTGTTAGGCAACATTCCTAGTGGCTGTCTATCTGAAATGGTGATCCTTCCCACTATGAGGCTGGGCCTTGTTCATAAAAGAGAAGGAAGAAAGAAAATGTGCAGAAGGAAAGAAAGAAAGAAAGAAAGAAAGAAAGAAAGAAAGAAAGAAAGAAAGAAAGAAAGGTGCATAGCAGCACCTGTCTGTTTCTCGTACGTACCAGTACGGGCCCAGTCTGGAAGGTTTCCTCTGGATGGATGACCAATTGGCTTCCAACTCGCCATGTTGGAGTTCCTTGGCTGCTCCTCCAGTCGTCAGCCTCAATCCCCAGGAAATGAGTTCCTCCACAATCATCACAGCTTTAGTCCATGGATTCTGACTAACGCTCTTGGAGATAAGGAGGAAAAGTTCAATCAAAACATGTAGCCACACTTCCTCGGGGCAGAGCTATGGGACATTTCTGACTGTACCTTGGGACTGGGCAAACCAAAATGCCTAATTTTAATTAGAGTAGGAGTGTTTGGTATCGACAGAGGTAATTCTTTCCTCCCTAAATTGCCAAGTAGGGGAATTTTAGTGTTGGGATAAAAATCCCAGGCTAAGGAATTGCGAGGCCAGCATGCTCAAGAACTCTGAGACTTTGGGCTGGTTACTAAGTGTGTGGTTCAGTGATGACGGACCTACGGAAATGCGGATGAGATTGGGAGGACGCAGATGATTCTTAGGAGGTTCCTTTGCAGGGTCAAATGAGTTAATATCTGTAAAGTACTTACAACAGTATTTGTAACTAGATGGTATTTTTTTAAAAACTTTTCATGGGGCACTTGGGTGGCTTAGTCAGGTGAGCTTCTGACTTCGGCTCAGGTCATGATCTCACGGTCGGTGAGTTCGAGCCCCGCATCGGGCTCTGTGCTGATGGCTCAGAGCCTGGAGCCCGCTTCGGATTCTGTGTCTCCCTCTCTCTCTCCACACTCCCTCACTCACACTCTGTCTCTCTCTCTCTCAAAAATAAACATTAAAATAATTCTCACAATAACCTTGTGAAATAACTAACCAGCTAATATTTCATGATAGCTGGAAGAGAAGTAATTTTTTCCAGCTTTACCGAGGTATGATTGACAGGTAAATATTGTGTGTATTTAGATGGTGCAATGTGAGTTTTTTAGCATGTACAATGTGATGGTTTAATACATGTATACATTATGGAATGATTACCACAATCATGTTAATTAACACTCTCATCTCCTCACCTAGTTGCCATTTCTTTTCTGTGTGTGGTGAAAACACTTAAGATCTACTCTTTTAACAAACTTCCGGGATACAATACTGTGTTATTAACTATAGTCACCATGTACATAGCTTCCTAGAACTTATTTTCCTTATAACTGAAATTTCGTACCCTTTGACCAACCTCTTCATATACCCTGAGCCTAGAACCGGGGCCGCCCCCGCCGGCGGCCGGCACGGTTCTAGTGTTTGTTTCTATGAACTCAACATTTTTAGATCATATAGTATTTGTCTTTTGGCTTATTTCACTAGTATAATGCCCTCCAAGTTCATCCATCTTCTTGCAAATGGTAGGATTACCTTCTTTTTAATGATTGAATGATATTCCGTTGTATCTATTTACCACATTTTCTTTACCATTCAGCAATTGACAACACTTAGGTTGTTTTCCTATTTTGATTATTGTCAGTAATGCTCCAATGAACGTGGGGTGCATGTATCTCCTTGAGAACCCGATTTCATTTCCTTTGGATAAATATCTAGAATTGTGATTTCTGGATCATAGGGTAGTTCTCTCTTTAATTTTTTGAGGAACTTCCATACTGTTTTCCAGAGTGGCTGCACCAATTTATATCCCCCACAATATATGCACAGGGGTTCCTTTTGGAAGAGAACGATTACTGAAAATGAGCTAACATTTTCCAGGTACTGCGCTAAATTCATTATAGATTTATCTGGTTAAATCTTTGTGACTCTTAGAGACTTAATTTGTATATTTTTTGTTATCTCATCGAAAAAGTATCTGAGAGGCTTACATAAATTCATAACCTAAAATTACAGGACAAATAAAGACGTTCCAAGAAAAAGAAAAGCCCAGAATACAAAGAGGAACAAAACAAGGATGCAACATCCTCTTAGCAGATGATGGTTCAAAGCCTCTGAGAAGTTTAAGCACTTTCTCCAGGGTGGTGAGGAGTTGAGCTGGGGTGGAAGTCCTGTCTCTCTGAGTTCTGGTGCTGTTCCAAGTGGTTTTACCAGTCTAGATGGCGTTGAGAGAAGGGGGAGAAAGGGTGTGTTGGCCAAATGGACATGTGAGGCTAGCAGCAAAGGTGGAAAAGAATAGGAAAAGTAAGTGGTAGAAAAGAGAGAACAGAGGGAAGGAACTGTAGGTGAAACTCAAATCCACGTGGTTTGTAACAGGAGGGAGGCAAAGGAGTGGTGGGGGAGGGGGCGGACTGTCCACAGGGAGTGGGAGGGGCGGCTCTGGTGAGGAAAGGGATAAGAAAGGTGGCTTCTCTCCAACTGAGTCAGGGGTTTTGTTTTTCTTAGAGAAGGCATCACCAGGGTCCAAAATTAACCCCCGCCCCCACAGAGTAGCAATCAACTCCCTAGTACTAGAAATTGAAATCCTGGGCCTCTCTGAAAATATTATTTTGAAGTAAAAGGCTGGCAAGATTATACCCAAAGCACGGGTATATCTCATAGGAAGCATCTATTCTACTTCTGGAGAAGCAGGATTCTGAGTCTCAGATATTCCTGGTTATCTGCATTCAACAAACTTACCCAGCATGTACTACGTGCTAAGTATAGGCACGTGGGGCTCAAAGTTAACTGGGCATGATGCCGAAATTCACAGTTTGGTGGGGAAAACGGACGTGAAGCTTCCATTGAAACTACAGTGCAGTAGACGTTCTTTTGGGGATGTGCCCTTGTCCGCATGGCTTTGGGGTCCAGGGCTGGAGCATCCCACTCTGCCTGGGGGCACGAGCTGAGGTTTCAGCAGAAGAGGGTGTTCTTGTCTGACTCACAGGGATGAGCGGGCATGTACTAGACAAGGGAAGGAGAGGAAAATTTCAGGCAGAGAGCTGCGTGGGCAAACACAGCTGGCCCCAAAGTGAGCTGTGACTCTGGTAGGGTCTGAGCGGGCAAATGGGAGGCTGGACAGGTGGGGAGTAAGTCAGGTGGGGAATGAGGTCTGAAGGCAGCTTCTAGCCAGACTGTTAATGACCTCCTATGTTAAATTCTCACTCTAACCCTGCTTGCTCCGAAAGTGATCCAGCACTGCCTGTTCAAGCGCACATGTATTTCCTGCAGGCAATAGGTCCTAGTAGAGGTCTGAAAGCCTGGCCATGCAGCACCCCCGGTGGCAGCGTGGAGATGGGCTGCTGGCATACAGAGGCGGAAAAGGCTTGGAAATTTCCCAGGAGACAAGGGCCCAGAGTGCAAGCAGGGTCGGGGGTTGGAGACGCACACTCAGACTGGAGGCACGACGGTTAGGATATCGTGACAGGCTGTGGGGTCAAGAGAGGAAGGAACTGAGGGCTGACACCAGGGGTTACAGCTTTGGGGCACCGGCCAGATAGCGATGACACATTTCAGGGAATTGAAGCTTAGTACAGGCTCGGAAATCATTGCCCAAGAACTGCAATTCCGCCTTAAAATCATCCAGTTTAGCTTGTTGTCTAGAACATTACATCTCACCAACCAGCCACAGCACATTGCTTCTGTCACTTATTAGCTGTGTCAACTTGGGTAAATCATTCCCTTTCTGAGCCCCTATTTCCTTATCTATAAAATTGGGATCAAATCTACTCTCACAGAATTGGGAATTCAACTGATCATTGACGTGAGTAATCTAGCCATGACCCAAAGGTTGGGGTAACTACACGTTCGTTCCCTTTGCAGAGAAGAATCTTGACTAATGGAGGCAGATCCTGTGTGTGTGTGGGGGGGGGGGGGGCGGGGTCCTTCTCCCTGCCCTCCCCTTTCTCTTCCTCTGGTTTTTCATAGCTAGATTGGCAGTTCAGGGAAGCTAGATGCTTGTTTTCTTGTAAATAAAAAGAGACAAATTGACCACTTCTGGACTTCTATTTGTGGGTCCAGAATTTAGCTTACTGAACAAATAGACATTTCAGTTTTAATATTTCAAATCACTCTTAAAAAAATCACTCAAACTGGTCCTTTGTCTCAATGGATATGAATGTTTCTAGTTGCTAAATCTCCTTACTAGTTTTTGGTCATCGGTTTTTACTGCTTGAGAAACCATGCCCGAGCGGCCGTGAGGACTTGCGTAGACCCACGCAGAGAGATGCCAAGGTGCCTTCTCACATCATACCTCTGCCGGGCATGCCGAGCTTTGAGGTGGCTGGGGCAGCGCCCCCAGGCTCATTTGGCCTCTGTGCACTTCTAGATCCTAGCATCTCAAATCACATGATCATTTATATACCCCCTTGCTTGTCTCTCTCCCATATGAAACCTTGAACCTTAAGAGCAGGAACCTTGTTCTATTCATGGTTTTCTTCCAGCACCTGACACAAGAGCGGCCACAAAGCAGCTAGTGAGTAACCGAGAGGAAAGAGCATGTGAGTGTGTGTATATGTGTGTGCGTGCGCACACACACATACACACACACGCTAGGGATGTCGGTGGAGATCAGTCTACTGCTACTCTGTGTCCCAGAGGAGACTCTAGGGCTGGGTAGAACTGGGGTTATTCATCAGACATGTGTATACAGGAGACCCAGTCTCGGGGGAATTTGTCATAGCATTGGGCACAGGTTGGGAAGGGTAAACTATGGGGCCTCTGGTCTTCCACAGGCTAGTTTCCCAAGTTCTTTTTAATAAAACTGTGCAGATATCCATTTCGAGAATGGTGGAAGGAGCATCAGGCTACTGGATAGTTCTCCATTGTCAGCCTGGACACAGCAGCGTTCTCCTCTTTGCCTGCTTGACAGAGTCTAAGGTTCCTGTATTTTAACAGGTGCATACATAAGAATGTTTGGGATTGGGTGGGCTGGAAGCTCTCCTGCCCTGTGGTCAAGGCCAAGCAGTGGCCTTTTCTGTTGGCTTCTCTGCACTGAGTCTGTGCAGCCTGGATAGGCTCTTGGAAGCTGGAGAAAGGAGAGCATCGGGGCCTGTGCTGATGTCGCTCCTCCTGGGAACGACTTTATCTCTGTCCTTTCTCGCACGTAGGCTTTGTAAATAGACCGGGGTCTTGACTTCCCTGCTTTGTTACTGTGCACTATCGTCAGGACCTGGAGCCACTTGGTCTTTCTGTCAAAGACACTTGTTTATGTGTCGTCTAGAGAGCCAACCGCTGCCCAGAGGGCGGGCCAGCTTGCCTGGGGACGTGTGCCTGGAGTGCAAGCTAGCGTGTATCTTGTCTCCTTCTTTGATTTGCTGGCCTGTTGGGAGCCCAATGTTATTAAAAAAGTGAATATATATACTCAAAAAATATATATATACATATTTATATTTTGCCAAATTTCCACAGAGAGATGCCAAATTACTTCCAGTCTTCTGGTAAATTACCATGTTTCCCATCCCTCTTGAGATGATATTCTAAACAATGTTCTATAATTAAGCTTTAAATTAGGTGTTATTCACTTCAGACCAGATACCAGATACCATTACCAGAAAAAAAGAAAAAAAAAAGGGGGGACTGTCAGGCTGAACAGAGTGTCCTCTATAAAATAAAATAAAATAAAATAAAATAAAATAAAATAAAATAAAATACACTCTTTTTAATTGTGGTAACATACACAATATAAAATTTCATCATTTCAATTACTTCAAAATAGCACTTTGTAAATTCACAAGGTTGTGCAACAATCATCACCATCCAGTTCTAGAACATTTTCGTTATTCCACTCACTGTCTCCTTTTTCAAATGCTAAGATTCTGTCTGTCTAATAAATAAACTGAGACAATTTCAGTCAACTAATGATTGAGGCAGTCAGTTCATAAATATCGTTATATTATTATATTATATATTGACCACCCACAGGGACTAAATTCCTTGCGTGGACCATTATGAAAAGATTTGGCAAAGTAAACACTGTATAGTTATAGATATTGATAGATACATGGATATTTTTAAAAAGTCACTAGAGAGATGTTTGGGGTGCCTGGCTGGCTCATTTGGTGAAGCATGAGATTCTTGATCTCGGGGTCGTAAGTTTGAGCCGTGTGTTGGGTGTAGGGATTCCTTAAAAATAAAACCTTAAAAAAAGTTATTAGAGAAATATTTATGTGGATAAATATATTTGCAATAATATAGTGAAAAAGTGTATAGATTTTACTGACTACATTAAAATTTTCCTTAGTTGGAAGGAAGGTAAGAAATTGACATACCGAATATTTTAAAGAAATCTAATTTTATTGCTTTTATGTTCATAGGGTATCTGCTAATAGAAAAGGACAAGTAGGAATATATTTAATTATTTTGCTTAACAAATATAAAGATGTAGATATAGAGGTAGACAGAGATTTATAGTAATATTATTTATTAGTATTACCCATAATAAGAAGATAGAAAACCACTAGTGATTATCACATTGATGGTTTAACAGTACTATTTGTATATGATGATTTTTTTAGGAGCTCTCCTTGCTTATTAATTCTACTTTTAAGCAAGCTATCTCTTTCCTTTACTTCAAAAAAATTTTCTAGCAAATATTCTCACAGGAAACTCAAATTTCAATTTCAGCGAATCACAAAAAACTGCAAGAACTGTTAAACAAATTCTGTAAAGTTGCAGGATACAAAATCAATCTACAAAAATCTGTTGCATTTCTATACACCAATAATGAAGCAGCAGAAAGAGAAATTAAACAAACAATCCCATTTGCAATTGCATCCCGAATAATAAGATACCTAAGAATAAATCTAACCAAAGAGGTGTTTTCTGAAAATTATAGAACACTTCTGAAGGAAATTGAAGAGAACACAAATAAATGGAACGATATTCCATGCTCATGGACTGAAAGAACAAATATTGTTAAAATGTCTATACTACCCAAAGCAATCTACACATTCAATGCAGTCTCTACCAAAATACCAACAGCATTTTTCACAGAGCTAGAACAAACAATCCTAAAATTTGTGTGGAACCACAAAAGACCTTGAATAGCCAAAGCAATCTTGAAAAAGAAAAGCAAAGCTGGAGACATCACAACTTCAGACTTCAAGTTATATTACAAATCTATAATCATCAAAACGGTATGGAACTTGCACAAAAATAGACAGAGATCAAGGAAATAGAATAGAAAACCCAGAAGTGAACTCACAACTATAGGGTCAATTAATCTTCAACAAAGCAGGAAAGAATATCTAGTGGGGAAAAAAAAAAACAGTCTCTTCAACAAACGGAGTTGGGAAAACTGGACAACAACATGCAAAAGAATGAAACTGGACCACTTTCTTACACCAGACACAAAGATACATTCAAAATGGATTAAAGACCTGAATGTGAGACCTGAAACCATAAAAACTGTAGAAGAGAACATAGGCAGTAACTTCTTTGACATCCAAAGTAGAAACATCTTTCTAGATATGTCTCCTGAGATAAAGGAAACAAAAGCAAAAATAAACTGGTGGGACTACATCAAAATAGAAAGCTTCTGCACACTGAAGGAAACAATCAACAAAACTAAAAGGCAACCTATGGAATGGGAGAAGATATTTGCAAATGACAGATCCGATAAAGACTTAGTATCCAAAATATATAAAGAACTGATACAACTCAACACCTGAAAAACGAATAATCCAATTAAAAAAATGGACAGAAGACACGAACAGATATTTCTACAAAGAAGACATACAGATGGCCAACAGACACATGAAAAAATGTTCATCGTCACTCACCATCAGGGAAATGCAAATCAAAACTACAATGAGATTATCAGCTCGCACCTGTCAGAATGGCTAAAAGCAACAACACAAGAAACAACAGGTGTTGGCAAGGATGTGGAGAAAATAGAACGCTCTCATGCTGTTGGTGGGAATGCAAACTGGTGCATCCTCTGTGGAAAACAGTATGGAGTTTTCTCAAAAAGTTAAAAATAGAACTACACTAAGATCCAGCAATTGCTCTATTGGGTTTTTCCCCAAAGAATACAAAAACACTAATTCAAAGCGATACACACACCCTATGTTTATTGCAGCATTACTCACAATAGCCATGGTATGGAAGCAGCCCACATATCCAGTGATTTATAAATGGATAAGGAAGACATGGAGCACCTGGCTGGTTCAGTTGGTAGAGCATGTGACTCTTGATTTTGGAGTCATGAGTTTGAGCCCCACATTGGGGCATAGATTGTATTTAAAATAAAAAAAAATAAATTAAAAAGAAGATGTGATACACACACACACACACACACACACACACACACACACACACACACAATATGGAGTAGTATTCAGCCATAAAAAAGAATCAAATCTTGCTATTTGCAACAATATGGACAGAACTAGAAGGTATGATGCTGAGCAAAATAAGTCAGAGCAAGACAAGTACCGTATGATTTCACTCAACTTGTGGAAATTAAGAAACAAAACCAACAAGCAAAGGGAAAAGAGAGAGAGACAAATCAACAAATGGACTCTCGTGGTGCCTGGGTGGCTCAGTTGGTTAAGCATCCAACTCTTGATCTCGGCTCAGGTCATGATCTCATGGTTTATGAGTTCAAGTTCCACCTCGGGCTCTGTGCTGACAGCGTGGAGCCTGCTTGGGATTCTCTGTCTTCCTCTCTCCGCACCTCCCTTGCTCATACTCTCTCAAAATAAATAAATAAACTTAAAAAAAAACAGAAACAGACTCTTAATTACAGAGAACAAACTGATGGTTACTAGAGGAGAAGGGGTGGGGGGATGGGGGAAATAGGTGACAGGAATTAAGAGGACACTTATGAGCGCTGAGTGACATAGAATTGTTGAGTCACTACATTGTACACCTGAAACCAATATTACACTGTATGTTAACTAACTGGAATTAAAATTAAAACTTAAAAAAAATAAATAAAAATTAAAAAAATTCAGTGAGTCATGACCAATTCTAAGTTATTAGAGCCCCAAAGTGTCACTAATCAGCACATACCCTACGACCATTCTCATGAACTAGTAGCTTTGTAGCAGGAAAATCTCGTTCGACAGACACGGCACCTATTTCCTTCTTTTTTTTTAAGTTTATTTATTTTTAAGTAATCTCTATACCCAACATGGGGTTCAAATTCATGACCCCGAGATCAAGAGTTATGAGCTTTTCCAAGTGAGCCAGCCAGGTTTCCCTACTTCCTTCCTTCTTCATAGCCTACTCACAGAGTTCTAGTCGTGACATGAGTCAGTATCTCTAACAAAGTGACATATTAGAGAAATTTTATGTACATTAAATCCTGTTTTCTACAGAGTATTAGATATCTAATGGTGGGTGTACCTTTGTAAATTAACCTTGCTTTCCTTAGTGATCCTCTTTTCAAAATCCATAGATCACCCTTCTGTCCTTTCCTTCCATACTCTTCTGAGTGGAAGGATCTTTTCTTCAAATTCCCTTTATCTTATTTTTGGGACTCTAAATTCACCTCTTTTGTTTGTCCCTCCCATGGTCTGATGCCGTTGAACTGCAACATCATGTTTCATCAGAGGGGACTGTCTACATGTTATATATGAAGTATCTGTAGATAGAGTTGTACACCCATTTCTAATTGAAGCCAATGAGAGAGCTGCCCAGTCTAGGTAATGGATGCAAGAGTTTGCCTTATATTTCTCTGTGTTTATTTCATGTTAAAAATAAGAATAAAAATGCAACTGATCTCAGTTCATGAGTCTGAGGCTTTAGATTTTTATAATTAGAATGAGGACTTGGCTTCATTATTTTTGCAGTTGAAATTGAATCTCCTTTCCTGTTCCTAGTTTATGGGCAGTGTTAGCCTACACAATGGAGCACATTCATATTGACGTGCAGCCATCACCGCCATCCATCGCCAGAAGTGTTTCCTCTTCCCAAGCTGAACTTCTTAATACCCCTTAAAAAAGGAACTCCCACTTCTCCTCCCCTGAGCCCCTGGCGACCACCGTTCTACTTGCTCTCTCTGCTGTAGTGGAATCATACAGTCTGTGTCCTTTTTTGACCACCTCATTGCACTTAGCATAATGTCTTCAAGGCTCATCCATGTTGTAACATGTGTCAGAATTTCATGTCTTCCTAAGGCTGAAAAACATTCCATTTATGGACCTAACAGATTCTACTTATCCACTGATCCATCGATGGGCACTTGAGTTGCTTCTACCCTTTGGCTATTGTGAAGCATGCTGCTATGAACACCGATGTACAAGCGTCTCTTCGAGACTCTGCTTTCAATTCTTTGGGAATATGCCTAGGAGTGGACTTGGTGGATTATGTGATAATTCTGTGTTTAACCTCTTCAGGAATCACCAATTTTCCCCCCAAACAACTGCGTCATTTTACATTCCCACCAGCAGCTCACAAGAGTTCCAACTTCTCTACCTCCTCCCCAACCGCTGCGACAAATCTTTTGACTTCTAAGTGTGTGGTAGTTATCAAAGGATTAACATGGTAATCAGTAGGTTATGGTGGTTTGAAACGGAGCTTTGTCATTGAATCACACTCTCCTTGAATTCTAGCTTTCCATCTGCCAGCTGTGTGACTTCAGACAAGTGATGTGACTTGGCTCGTCGTTGTCTGTCTACTGAAGTATAAACTGAAGATCACAATACTTAGTTCACGGGGGCATTACGGGGCCTACATGAGGTCACCATTGTGAAGTACTTACCACAGTCCTGCCCATGGAAAAGTTAACAAATGCACCTTTCTTGAAAGAGTTTTTTTCTTCTTAAGAAGATGTTGATTATTGAAGAATGACACCTTTCGCCAGTTCAATTAGTAGATATTTATTTCCATTGTTGAAACGTTCCTTCATTCTACAACTATCCACATACATACAGACGTTTCAAAGATTTAATTTTTATCTGATCTGGAAGATGAGAAGTTGATAGAAGACCAGAGTAAGTCCTGGAAAGAAGCTACGTTGAAAGAAACTATTTTTCTTGTTTTGAGTGGTGGGAAGAGGGGGTGGGAAGATGGATGCTGAGTGGAAAATCCAGCGGGAGGGCGGGGTCTAGCAGAGGAAGACCTGGAAGAAGATTCTATGGCAAATAACAGCACAGGCTGGATAGAGCCTTGGGATCCTTTCGTTTCCTGGACCTCAATTTACCTATCAAGTATCGCTGCTTAAGTACTCCAAGGAGTGGATGAACAAAACAAGCAATACATTGTGGGTGCTGCATGTGGCCGCAAAACTGGTCAAAAAGTCGTAATCCTTGGGGCGCCTGGGTGGCGCAGTCGGTTAAGCGTCCGACTTCAGCCAGGTCACGATCTCGCGGTCCGTGAGTTCGAGCCCCGCGTCAGGCTCTGGGCTGATGGCTCGGAGCCTGGAGCCTGTTTCTCATTCTGTGTCTCCCCCTCTCTCTCCCCCCCCCCCCCTCATGCTCTGTCTCTCTCTGTCCCAAAAATAAAAATAAACGTTGAAAAAAAAAATTAAAAAAAAAAGTCATAATCCATGCTCAATTTTCAGTACTGCATTTCACACTGGCTGTAGGACACTAGCAAAGACTTGTACTGCTGAGTTCTTCTCCTTAACAGCTTGGCAATGCAAAGGAGCTTCAGAGAGATACTAAATATTCTTACGGTTCTTGGCAAATGGTAGCCACATTAGTTTTTCCTCCACTTTCTCTTCCCCCACCCCCCACCTTAGTCCCCAGATTTTTTTTTAAAATAAGATACCACGAAAGAATTAGTGTCAGGTAGAGTCAGCCCCGGGACCATTCCTTCAGCAAAGTCCTTGTCAGGAAATACTCCATGCTGGCCTGTGTCTTTCATTCTCTGAAGAGGGAAATTCTGTCATCGCCTCTGGAATTTTGTTTAGGTTTCTACTGGCAGCTGAGTCGGGCTGTGGCTCCTGTGCTCCCACCTATAGGACTTTGAGATCATTTTAGGAATAGTGGTGGCAGGAGAGGGGCTTTGTCATTGGTGATGGCTGAAGCTAAACGCGCCACACTTCACTTTGAGACAAAACATTTTATTCCGTTTCTTGAGGTAGGCCGCTATCACTATATATCCCTTTGCTGGCAGAAGAAGTTAAGATGGTCTAAAGACAGGGGTGCCCAGGTGGCTCAGTCGGTTAAGTGTCCAACTTTGGTTTAGGTCATGATCTCACGGTTCGTGAGGTCAAGCCCCACGTCGGGCTCTGTGCTGACAGCTCAGAGCCTGGAGCCTGCTTCGGATTCTGTGTCTCTCTCTCCCTCTGCCCCTCCCCCCCCCCTTCTCTCTCCTCTCCCCCCCCCCCCAAATAAATAAACATTTTAAAAAATTTTAAAAAAAGATAGTCTAAAGACAGATAGTCTAAACACACTTTAGGGAAGCTTGATGGGTGGAATATTGCTCAACAACAATGATTTGGAAGCCAAGACAGAAACTTACGACGATCTGGAGAAGAGCCTGGATTTGGAAGGGAAAAAAAGTTCATGGAGGCACAAGGCAATTGATCCAGGAAAAGACACCTTATGATAAACTCCAGGGGAGAGAAAACTCAAAATTCTTTAATAGAACAGAATGTTGATTCTCCCTTTCTTAGGATCATTGCTAGTTCTCTATTCCTTAAAATAACTAATAGAGAACAGACATCTCCACATGGAGAAATAGAAATAAAATAACCTGAATTATACCTCTAAGTAGGAAATTGGAGGTCTGGCAAAAGAAATGAGAATTTCAGTTTCCAGGGTAAATTTGTTCTCATATTTGCTATCGTCCTTTGATCTGGAACAAGCGTGTAGTGTTTTTCTTTAATGTAGAACTCAAGTATCATTATATTTTATATAATACATATGAATACCTTTATGTAAGTAAAACAAACTTCTATTTTCTAACTTAGGTAATATTGTGGAAAATGACTATGGTGTACCGATAGAAACTTTCTTAAAATTTCTTCAAGATAAGCATGTTATTGATGCAATCAAATACACTCTCAGGAAAGAAACACGTAGAACAACATCCCTACAATGTCTATTTTGCATCTTGAAATTTGGAAGTGATGTGTTTCAGAGAAACATTGTTTTCTCCATTTTCCCTTCCTACTTGGGACAATAAAATTATAAATGTTATTTACAAACATCTTTTAAGAAAGCTGGAGGAAGATCTTATTCTGGAAAGGCAGAGACCGAAACTGACTTACAGCACTCAAAATTCATTTTTTTGTGTTTTGATTTTGTTTGTTCGTATTTATGTTCATTTTTTGGTCCTTAAGGCAGAGTTCTCAGCTCCACAAGTTACCCGAATTTGTTGAGAAACATCAAGGCATAAAATTTTCATCGAATTCCTGAAAGGAACTTGAAGCAAAGTCAACACCCAGCCTTGAGGACAAGAAGCATGCCTACGATAATAAGTTGAGGTCTCACTGACCCAATGGAAAATTACAGATTGATACTTCTTTTGTTGGACAGCCTGTGATTTCATTAATTTCATTGACAGTAATTCTGAGTGAAATTTATGAAGGCCACAAAGCATAGAGTTAGTGAACCGCATGAAATGTCAGCACGCCCACTTGGGACCATATTTCTCTCCCTCTACTCCCACCCATACTGTTTGCCTTGGCAGGTGGCTTTTTCTAACCTAATTTGTAATGCTTCAACATTTCACCATGACCTCACTTGAGTTTCCTTACTGACAACCCTAGAAAGGCTCTCTATTCCACTGGGCACCGTGGATGTTTTACTGTGGACATTTTGGTTTCCATGTAGGCACCGCACTCACATGCACCACACACATACCACACACACACTGTCCCCTCACACACACCTACACATCCCCTGCGTCCCTCCGCCGCCCCTCCCCCCGCCCTGTCCCC